TTGTGTTCTGTACTTGTACAGTGCCAAAGAGAATGGGATTTTGGCTTGTGACTGGCGTTCCTAGGTGCTACCATAATCCAAATAATAAACAATTAAGATAATTAATAATTCCCCTTTGTTGTGAGCCCAGGGGGACATAGGGTTAGTTCAGAGCTCCCCAGCGGCAACTTTAAATTACTTTCCCCCATAATGGGGCCATTGCATGGCTATGGACCAGCTGGATATGGGCCACATCTCTTTTGCAAGCAGGTCAATTTTTAACAGTGCCTGTCAAGGCTGTATCCCCACTTTGAACTTTAGGGTACAAATGTAGGGGCCTGCATGAAAACTTCTAAGCTTAACTACCAGCTTAGCTCTGGTCCCGCTGCCACCATTCCCACTGGATTCCCTCCCTGGGAAGCCTTGAGAAACCTCTCACCAATTCCCTGGTGAATACAGATCCAAACTCCTTGGATCTTAAAACAAGGAGAAATTGACCCTTCCCCCCTCCTTCCTTTCACCAACTCCTGGTGAATACAGATCCAAACCCCCTTGGATCTTAAAACAAGGAGAAATCAATCTAGTTCTTAAAAAGAAGGCTTTTAATTAAAGAAAAAGGTAAAAATCATCTCTGTAAAATCAGTATGGAAAATAACTTTACAGGGTAATCAAACTTAAAGAGCTCAGAGGACCCCCCTCTGTCTTAGGTTCAAAGTACAGCAAACAAAGATAAACACTCTGGTAAAAGGTACATTTACAAGTTGAGAAAACAAAGTAAATCTAAGACGCCTTGCCTGGCTTTTACTTACAATTTTGAAATAAGAGAGACTTGTTTAGAAAGATGGGGAGAACCTGGATTGATGTCTGGTCCCTCTCAGTCCCAAGAGCGAACAACCCCTTAAACAAAGGGCACAAAACAAAAGCCTTTCCCCCGCCAAGATTTGAAAGTATCTTGTCCCCTTATTGGTCCTTAGGGTCAGGTGTCAGCCAGGTTACCCGAGCTTCTTAACCCTTTACAGGTAAAAGGATTTGGAGTCTCTGTACACAGGAGAGCTGTTACCCTTCCCTTTATAGTTATGACAGTGCCACATCTCTTTATTCCCACCTTTGCTGTTGGTCCTTCTTGCATGAGTTACAGGATGGGCAGTTTTGCCATTGACCTCAGTGGGAGCAAGATAGAGCCTCTTATGGGTCTCATTTGACCCACTTGGTCAAATGAGTACAACCATGGAGTAAGCCCACTGATGTTAGTGAAGTCACTGTGGGGTAATCAGGGCTGGATTAATGCATAGGCAAGCTGGGCACGTGCCTACGACCCAAATTCAGGGAAGAGGAGGGAAGGATTGTTGTTTTGTTTTGACCATGATATAGCGAAGACCAAGCAAAATGTGACTGAATGGCATTGCGAGCTGGTGTGCAGGGTCGCAGCACTGCTCAGGTTTGGCCCAGCCACCCCTCCATCATAATGGGGGGTGGCTGGGCCAAATGTGAGAGGCAAAGTGACCTGGAATGTGGGGTTGCAGCCACCGCTCAGGTTTGGCCCAGCTGCCACCCCCCCCCCACCATGACTACAGAATAAACACCTGCTTCTGGGGTAAGAACTGGGGGACTCTCCTGCTGCCAGCGCTACCTCTTTTGAGAGGAAAGAGGCCCCTGCTTCTGGGGAAGAAAAGGATACCTCATGCCATTGCTGGTGAATCCCCTGGAAGGGGAGGATGGCCCTGCCACTTGCATTCCAAGTTGGCAGAGGCCATTTTGGGATATGCCTTGGGACATGGATTGCTTTAATCTGGCCCTGAGGACAGGTTTAAGGGTTAGAGCATGGTCGTCAACCATGCAGCATGGGGTCCAATGGTCACATCACTGTAGGCTTTTATTTTGAATTGGAAACATTTTTAAAAAAACATAAAACATGCATCTCTGTGTCCTGCAGCAAGAGGAGGCTATGGAAACGACATGTCCCATCAACAGCCCCTCCAGCACTGGAGCATGCCCAGCGGCTGCAGCCCCTGCAGGATGGGGAAGGAAACTTCTACTAGCAGCAGCCTTTGCTGGCCATGCTCAGATGCCGCGGCATTTTGCAATGGGATTGCAGGGCAGGTGGCTGAGGTGACAGGGGGCATGCAGGGCCAAGTGCCCCCCACCCCTGATTGGCCTGCCCGAGGGGCACCCGGGCCTGGGTGAGGGGTGGCTCGCCTCTGCTACCACCTCCCCAGCCAGGTTCTCTCAGGTAGCTGCTGTGGTGCACAACCCAAAGCAGCTGGCTTCAGTTGGTGCAAGAAGCAGCTCCATCCCGCTCCCCCCCCCGGGCCCGGCTGCCAGGGAGAGCGGCCAACCATGCCGGAGGGGAGGTGCAGTGGGAGAAGGACAGAGCCTCCCCCCTGCCTGCAGGTAACGTGGGGCAGGGAGAACGCGATGGACCCGGGCTGGGCTGCAGGGTGGTGGTGGGGTCACTGGGCAGAGGAGACACGGGGGGGGGGGGTTCAAGTGTCCTCCCCTTTAGATCGTGTCCCCCCACTATGGGGGAGGAGCAAGAGTCATCTATGCCTGGGAGCCCTATAAGAACTGGGGCTGACTGCCAGGGATGGGGTTAGACATGTGCAACCCATGCAGTTGCATCAGCCCTGAGCCAGCGAAGGGGCCCCCTGCCGCGGTGACTGAGTGGGGCACTTGTGAAGGTGGGGTGCAGGAATCGAGCGGGAGAAGGTAGACGACAGGGGCAGATGAATAGCTGGTGCAGGCTCAGGGCTCCTTGGCCGTACAACATATGCCCAGTGCAGGCCGCTGCTGTTGTTTGGGGCCTGCTGGAACCCCGAGGAAGAGCCGTGCGCAGGGACGGGGGACTCCAAAAGGGTGGCTCTGCCACAGTGGCGTAGCCAGCATGGGATATTTGGGTGGGCAGGTAATTCCAGGGGGGCTGGGAGGGCAGGAGGGATGGGGGACCCGCATCCCCCCAACCCTGCAGCCGGCATGGCCAGGGGCTCTCTGGGGCCTGGGCGTGCACCCAGCTCCGGGAGGAGACGCTGCTCTCCAGCGCTCCCGGCTCCCTTCCAGGTCCTACCGCCCCACGCTGGGCCCGGCTGCCCTAGGTGACGGGACTACCTTTTTTAAAGATCTCCTCTACTGCCGCCGGCCACCCGCTCGCCAGCAGGAGCACCAGGCGAGCAGAGCAGAGCAAGCCCCTATGCCCCGACCCCACTCCCCGGCAGTAGCCATCTAGGCCCACGTGTGGCTACGCCCCTGCTCCGCAGTGAAGTCAGACAAGTGGGACCGCTAATGGCAGAGCCTCCATTTTGGTTTGAAGCCCCCCCCTCCCCTTCCCTCACCTCCTGCTGCCTCCTAGAAGCTCTGACTCCAGCTCTGCTGGCAGCAGCCGCTGTGGTTTGCAGCTCTGACTCCCGCGGCAGCAGGTCTGGCTTTGGCAGGAGCAGTGGTGATGGCTCTTGCGGGTGCAGGGCCTGGAACTGGTTGGGGGTGTCGGGATGGACGGGGGAGCAGAGCAGGAGGTGCAGAGGCAGGGATGAGTGGGGGTGGGTGAGGGAAGTGGGACTTGTGGTGGCATAGGGGGCCCCACAATAAAAACCTGCACCCAGGGCTGGCCTTAGAGAAAATGGCAGGCTGGACGAACGTGCATTTTGGTGCCCCTGGCCCCTATGGGCTCCCAGGCTCCCCATCCCCCTTTGCACCCTTAACCCTTGCGCCCGTAACACCTGCACCCACATGGGGAAACTGAACTGGATGCATGGAGCAGCTGGCATTGCTGCTCGCTTCCCCCCTTTGAACGCTGCTCCTCTGTGCACCCCTTGGGGGCTGGAGGGGAGCGAGGAGCGAAGTCAGGGCTCCCTGCATCCAGGTCACTTTGCCCTCCCCTTACGCAGCCCGGTGGGAAGAGAGCAGCCACTGCTGATGCTCACCTCACAGCACAGACCAGGTGGGGAAAGAGGGGAGATTGTGGCCTGTTCTGCCTCACAAGGCACGAGCAGGCATGGGCTGGGCGATGGGACTTTCTAGTGCAGGTTTAACCTGAGATCGTCTCTGTGCTCTTCTGTTTGCACCATCACCCTATTTAGACATGCCCCTTCGGCAGCCACCACGCTGCTGGCAGAGGTAGCGCCCCTCTCTTGTACTCCCCAGGGGAGCCAGATAAATAATGTCCCCGGCTGCCCAGGGTGCACTCTGCCCACAGTGTTCACAACGCAGGGCCAGACACATTTCGGCTTTAATACTATTGTGTGTACAAACAAATCTGAGACGTGGAAATCATTGAGCAGCCTTTGCTTTATTGACAGAGGGGAAGGTTCTCCAGAGGCAGAGGCAGCATCTGAGGGTAATGAGTCACTAACACCACGGGAAGAATTGCACGGCAGCGGTAGGAGCTGTCGTGGTGCTTCTGGGAATGGAATCAAGCGACAGCAGAGCCAGGCAGGAGAGGAGACATAACCTAGACAGAGCTGGCTGACATTTTCCAAACTATGAGTTTTTCTGTGGACAGACAGCTTTTTAAAAAACATGAAAATTTTCATGAAATATCATTGATGTGGTTGTAATGTTTTATTTGGCAGGGGGAAAAAATCATGTTTTTTAATGTTTTCAGCAATTCTTTTCGAAAATGTTCTCAGGCTAACGACCACATTTTTTTCTTTACAGAAAGCCAGGGTTTTTTTAAATGATAAAATAAAATAACAGTGTCTGATATCAGGGAGAGGAATGAAAAAAAATCTGCAAAAATATTTAAAAACACAAAAGCAAAAATGGGTTAATTTAGAACCCACTGCAATGAAAACAACTTAGAAATTCCATTTCCCCCCCTCCCCCCAAAACTATTTTAATCTTTTTTTACTAGCTCTAGTCCTAGTGCACTGCACTGCGCTGGGTAAGTGTGTATGATGATGTCTGCCTCCTAGTGACTGGTGCATAAAGAAAAGATCTTTATTGTCATCTCCAGATAAATGTTCATTATGCCAGGCCTATAATGCTATGTAAGAGCTAAGTATAATTATTATAACTGCCTCTCGGATTGGTTACACAGTCCGAATTTTCATCTCAGACCACCAGTAGGAGTACATGTGCCCTTTGCCTGAAGCCCAACTCACCCCAGCACCATAGCTTTCATGGGCTCCACTCAGGTATAATCCATTCAGGTTGGACAAATGACAATCCCTGTACCACCAGGCCCCTTTAAAGGCTATAGCACAGTTAGTTATAGACAAGTCGTTGTCACGGTCTCGGGTTGTAAACATCATACCGTTGTGTTCAGTTAAGGAATCCCCTGTAGAAACAATTGGGTTTATTTATTACATGTTTTTACAGAGACAAGGTGGGTGAGATAATCTCTTATTTTTTACATTTTATAGTTCAGTTCTCCCTTCACCATGCAGCAGAACTCTCCCTCGGGTGCAGAAGAGAGACTGCAGTTCTACTTCCAGTGAGGAACATTTTTCACCAGGCCATATGTTGATCTTAGTTATACCACTATAGGTCCAGAGTAACTCATTGCAATCAATGTGCTCAGTCATTCGGTGTCCTGCAGTCAGTTTGCACCATTGTGGTGGTATAATGTGAGCCCACTATGCTCCTAACACTAACAGCTTAGCCGGGAGCCTGCTGAGGAATTAGGATCATAGAATCACAGAATCATAGAAATGTCAGGCTGGAAGAGACCTTGAGAAGTCATTAAGTCCTACCCCCTGGGCCGAGGAAGTACCAAGTAAATCTGGACTGTTCCTGCCAGGTGTTTCCCCAACCTGTTCTTAAAAACTTCCAGTGATGCAGATTTCAGAACCTCTGTTAGAAGCCTATTCCAGAGCTTAACTACCCTTATACTTAGAAATTTAATTCTAATTCTAATTTAGATCTCCTTACTGCAGATTAAGTCCATAACTTCTTGTCCTACTTTCAGAGGACATAGAGAACAATTGATCACAGTCCTCTTTATAACAGCCCTTAACATATTTGAAGACTATTACCAGATTTCCCCCCTCAGTCTTCTTTTCTCAAGACTACACCTCACCAGTTTTTTAACTTTCCTCATAGGTCAAGTTTTCTAAACCTTTTATCATTTTTCTTGCTCTCCTCAGAACTCTCTTCAGTTTGTCCACATCTTTCCTAAAGTGTGGTGCTCGGAATTGGACACTGTTCTCTGACTGAGGCCTCACCAGTGCTGAGTAGAGCAGGACAATTACCTACTGTTTCTTACATGCCACAGTCTTGTAAACACACCCAGAATGATATTAACTTTTTGTGCAACTGCATCACATTGTTGACTCATATTCAATTTGCAATCCGCTCTAAACCAGTTCTTTTTCAGCAGTACTACCACCAAGCCAGTTATTCTCCATTCTGGAGATGTGCATTTGATTTGTCCTTCCTAAGTGAATCACTTTGCACTTGTCTTTACTGAATTTCATCTTGTTGAATTCAGACCAATTCTCCAATTTGCCAAGGTCATTTTGCATTCTAATCCTGTCCTCCAAAGTGCTTACAACCCCTCCCAGCTTGGTGCCATCTGCAGATATTATAAGCATATGCTCCACTCAGTTATCCAACTAATTAATGAAAATATTGACTACTACCGGACCCAGGACTGACCCCTGCAGAACCCCATTAGATACACGCTCCCAGTTTGACAGCATACCATTGATAACTACTCTTTGAGCACTGCCTTTCAACCAGTTATACACCCATTTTATGGTAATTTCATCCAGACTGCATTTCCCTAGTTTGCTTATTGAGAATGCCATGTGGGATTTTGTCAAAAGTGTTACTAAAATCAAAATATGTCACATCTACTGCTTCCCCCTTATCCACTAAGCCTATAACCTTGTCAGGAAGGGAATTAGGTTGGTTTGACATGTGTTCATAAGAAATCCATGGTGGTTATTGCTAATTAATCCTAATTTCCAGCAGGTGCTTAGAAATTCATTTTTAATAATTTGTTTGAGTATCTTTACAGCTATCAAATTAAGGCTGACTGGTCTACAGTTCCCCAGGCAATATTTGTTCCCCTTTTTAAAGATAGGTGCTATGTTTGTCCTTCTCCAGTCTTCTGGGACTTCTCCCATCCAAGAGTTCTCCGGATAATTATTAATGATTCTGAGACTATTTCGGCTAGCTCTTTAATTCTCTTAGTGTAAGTTTCATCAGGCCCTGCTCACTTGAATACATTTAACTTATCTAAATATTCTTTAACCTTTTCCCTCCTATTTGAGCTTTCATTCCTTCCCCCTTATTGTTAATAGTGTGTTGAGTGTGTCCTCACCAGTAACCTTTTTAGTGAAGACTGAAGCACACTAGCCACGAAACACCTGAGCCTTCTTGATGTCATCAGTTATTTGCTCGCTATTCCTGCTAAGTAGAGGAATTACACTTTTTTTCATCTTTCTCTTGCTGCTAATATATTTAAAGAACCTCTTTTTCCTGAACACCATTTTCCCCAGATTGTCTTCCCGTAGGACCTAACCTATCAGTTCTCCGAATTTGTTAAAGTCTGCTGTTTTGAAGACCATTGTCCTTCTATTGCTTTTACTCCTTCCTTTCTTAGAATAAAGAAATCTGTGATGTCATGATCACTTTCACCCAAATTTATTCCGCCTTCAGATTCGCTCCCAATTCCTCCTTGTTGGTCAGAATTAAGTCTAAAATGGCTGGTCCCCCTGGTTACTTCCTCCACAAAATGGTGTCCCCAATACATTCCAAGGACTTATCAGAAATTTTGTGTTTTTCTGTATTACTTTTCTAACAAACATCTCAGAAGTTAAACTCCCCCATTACCATAATACACCCGTACCAAGAGGTCACTTCTTTTTTTACCCTTTTTCTCTTCACCCAGAGACTATCAATTGGTCTGCTTCTTGCCTCCTCCTGGAGCAGAGAACAAGTGTATATATTCTTGCTGTATAATTCAGCTCCTCCTCCCTTTTTATCCTGCCTGTCCCTCCTAAACAAACTATACCCCACCATACCAATATTCCAGTAATGAGACTTATCCCACCCAGTTTCTGTGATGCCACTTAAGTAGTAATTCTACTATTATACCAATCCTTCCAGTTCTTCCTGTTTATTCCCCATCCACCTGCAATTTACATACAGGTATCTGAGATATTGAGCAGATTCCTTATCTGATTTCCCACTTCTTCCTCCTCTGACCCTACATGCCCCCCACAAATCTAGCCCTCTGTTAAGGTGGCCCTTTTTTATGCTTAGCTATTGGCTTTTGTCACCTGCACTTTTAAATCTAGTTAAAAGCCCTTCTCCCTACTTGCCTTGTCGGTGTGCCTAAGCAATCCTGCAGTGATGTGTAGCAGGCTCTGCATGCCACAGAATATTCCTGTCTCTGGTATCCGGAAGTCCAGATGCATAGTTTGCATGAAATGGGGCATATCTTACCCCCCCTCCCAGTGACTTGATGTGCCTACTTAGTTTAATGCAGATATTTCTATGGGGCATTAAAGTCTAGTGTAGAAAAGCAACCAGCACAAGGTAGGATATCCATATTATAATATATGTTTTGTTGTCACTAGACCTTGTATTTCTCCTATAATACTTCAGTTGCAGAATAACTGATGTTTCCTGACAGACATCACTCCCACAGATTACCTCGCCTTTTGCTTCTGCCATAGAATATTCTGCATCACTTTTGCTTTCCATTTTTTCCATCTGCCACAAAGGGTAAAGGACGAGCTCAGAACCTACCTGCGGTGCCATTAACAAAGGCTCCAAGGATCAGCTTGTAGTTCTCGGTCTCCCCTGCAATTTTGAATGATCTGAAGGTAGCAAATTGATAGTTGGTGTCAAAATCTCTGAGATCGACGCGAAGCTCGTTGGCTCCTTTAGAAAACAATTTGAAAGCAAAATGTTCAGCACCTTCCATTAGTGTTTATTACTATTAATGTTTGGTTTTATTGCAGGAGCCTCTAGAGGCCCCAAACACGAATCAGGCTCCATTATGTTGGGATCATTATGATCATCTAGTTTGAATTGCCTGCATCATACACATCATAGAATTTCACCCACTGATTCTCGCATCAAGCCAATATCTTCATCTCGCCCTTTATCAATTCAATTTCCATCCACCAACCAAACCTCCCTATTAAAAACCTGCTCTGTGTTATGCTTTGCTATGGTAGTTCAGAATCTATGACCTCATCCAGGCTGTAGCATCCTTTATTGCTGTACTGTGGGTGAACCACCAGAGGACCAAATGCTGCTCCATGAATCATGACTGGAGCCAGCCCAGCTACCACCGCATTATTGGTTTCAATAGCTTTGTGTGGCAGGACTGGGCTGTAAGGAACAGGAAGGGGTGTCTGCAGCAAAAGTGTTACCTCTGCTGATAGTACAACTCTATACCCTGTAACCATGGCTAAAGTGTGAGAACAAAGCTTGGTGGAGAAGGTTGCTGTAAGGAAAAGAATGCGTCAGAGATGTCTTTACCAAGGGAAGTTAACAGGTGGATATTGTCGTTCCCCAGCCAGAATTCTGACAGCCGGCTGCCGAAACCTTTTTTGTATGAATTCCAGTCACGTAAGAAATCCATGGAGCCATCCACCCGTCTCTGGAACACCTGCAGGGAAACAGGAGGTTCTTAGCTGGGAAATCCCACATTGGTTTCCATCCGACTAGAGCAGGAGACCAGAAACTCTGAGACTGTAAATCATTGGATGAGATTTAATGTGGTCAGATCTATTTCAGCCTCAGGTGACTGTCGCAGATGGAGGCTCGTCCCACAGGATCATATTAAATCTTGGCAGCAACAGCACTAGGTTAAAGGATCACATGGTCCGAAATCTACAGCACTGGACTGGCAATCAGGAGGCCTGGGTTCTATACCCAGTTCTGCCACTTGGGCAAGTCACATCCCCTCTGCTTTCTGTGCGGCCCTTTGTCTGCCTTGTCTATGGAGAGTGTGAGCTGTAAAGGACAGGGGCTGTCTCTCAGTGGGTGTGTTCAGCACCCAGCGCAATGGGACCCTGATCTTCATCAGATTCTCTAGGCACGACTGGGATATAAATAAGCACAATGATAAATTGGAAGGTTTAAATGTGAGGTACATACAGGGTTCAAACCCTTCATCTCCTCAGCTCCCTCGAACGCTCTCTCCACTCCTACTCAGGGGCTGCCTGAGCGACAGAGCAGCTGAGGCACCAGGCCTGTGACAGAAGTGGAAGGAAGAAGGAATTCTGGTTCCAGAGTCTGGGCAGCTATTGAGGAGGCTGTGAGAGCCGGGCAGAGAATAGCCAGGAGAAGGGAAACCTGGTTAACTGTGTCAGACCAGTGACAAATGTCCCCTCTGACTGGGTCTTTTAGATTCTAAAGCTCGGGGTTCCCCTCATTAAACCCATTGTGTTCACAACCAAGTTATCTCCACAACCTAGGATTAGAAGGGCTCATAGGTGTCAACTTTCCCCGGCGCTGGTGGGTGCTCATGCCCTCCCACCCCCCAGCCTGCCCTGTCCCCACCCTTTCCCTGCCCCTGCCCGCACCCATTCCAACCCCTTCCCCAAAGTCCCCGCCCCAACTCCGCTCCCTCCCTGCCCCTATTGGACCCCTTCCCCAAATCCCCGTCCTGGCGCCGCCTCTTCCCTGAGTGTGCCGCGTTCTCCCTACTCCCCCCTCCCTCCCAGCCACGCGAAACAGCTGTTTCGCAGCGCAAGTGCTGTAAGCTGGCGGAACAAGCGGGCACGCGGTGCGCTCAGGGGAGGAGGCGGAGGCAGAGCAGAGGCAAGCTGGGCGGGGAGCTGCTGGTGGGTGCTGAGCACCCAGGGCCGGCTCTGGCTTTTTTGCCGCCCCAGGCAAAAAAGCCTCCGGCCGCCCCCCGCCCCCCCCCCCCCCGTGGGGGCTCCGCTCTCCCCTCGGCAGCCGGGGGCAGGGCGCCGGGGGGGAGGGCGGCCGGAGCCCCGGGGGGAGGGCGGCGAGCCCCGGCGGGGGCTCCGCTCTCCCCTCGGCGGCCGGGGGCAGGGCACCGGGGAGGAGGGCGCCGGAGGGGAGGGCGGCCGGAGCCCTGGGAGGAGGGCGGCGAGCCCCGGCGCGGGCTCGGCTCTCCCCCCGGCGGCCAGAGCGCAGGGCAGCGAGCCCCAGCAGGGGCTCGCCGCTCTCCCCCCGGCGGCCGGAGGGAGGGCGCGGGGGGGAGGGCGGCCAGAACGCTGCGGGGAGGGCGGCGAGCCCGGCTGTGGCCCCGCTCTCCCCGGCGGCCGGAGCACCGTGCCGCCCCCCTCCAGGTGCCGCCCCAAGCACTAGCTTAGTTGCCTGGTGCCTGGAGCCGGCCCTGTGAGCACCCACCAATTATTCACTGTGGGTGCTCCAGCGCCGGAGCACCCACGGACTCGGCGCCTATGGGCTCAGAAAGTGTCTGTGTTTTTGTTCAGCTAACCATGACAGCTTCAGAGTTTCCGTCTTCATGCTTTTCTACTAGCTACAACCCACTGGGTAAGTGCCACCTCCCATTCTTGTTGTTCAAGAAAAAATGTCCAATGAGCTTCATTGTGCTCGGTTCTTACAATCCATCCTCCACCATCTGTGTCCATGTCACACAGCACGGTCATGGCATTACAGTCACGGGGGTAGATGGTGTACCAGTCGCTCAGGATGTTGCCTCTGGCTAACAGCTCCTTGCAGTTCTTTGCTCCTGGTCAAAAGAGGAATTGAAATATGTAAATTGATTGTATTAACTCTCCTTGCAGCAGGCATTCATGGGCTGCTTTATGTTGCACCGAGGGCCAGATCAACTGCAGAATCAGGTAACTGGAAGAGAATCTTTGAGTCATCTTCTCTCCTCCACACTATAGCATATGGGAATTGGGTAGTATCCCTTTAAATAGTTTGTGGTCCCTCTGTGTTCTATCTTTGGAAACCTACCTGAGCAGCAGCCTATGTACCTATCTAGGCTTTTCATGCTCTCTGTAGTTCGCAAACCTAATTATTTAGACTCCAATGTGCCAGTGTGGTTGTATTAAAGTTTGTTTGAAAGAGGAAAAGACACAACCACCTGCCCAACCCCCTGTGTTCTGTGTGAGACCAGTTCAACCTGAACAGAGGATTGGCTCAAAGCATCTTGGAAACTCATGGAAACTGAAACGTGCACAAAGATTTGTACTGGAAGTGTCCATGCAGCCATTTTGAAATCTATCTGTGAGTCAGAAGGGTTTCCAGTCATTATGTGACTTGGGTGAGCACTCATCCCAAAAGAATATCAGATACTCACATCAAACAGTTTGCAAGTGAACCCATCGGCTGAAATGTATTTCCACAGAAGATTCACTGACCACCTAAACATCTTCATTTTAAAAGATGAAAGTATCTTTGCCGATAGTTTGAGAACAGCAAATCGGGTAAATTACAGATGTATTTTTTTGTAATTTGTCTACTTCTAATGGGCTTTCCTGTTTGGTTCTCTGGATGGAATGAGATGACATTTAGTGGTCATAAGAAACTCTCACCTTTTGTACACTGCCTTTTCTCAAGCACTTCCTCTCCTAGTCATGAAAAGAAACACAATAGAAAGTGAAATGGAATCAGAAAATGTTCTACTGTCTTTTAAATTATGTAATTGGCCAACAGTGACAGCTGGGACAGCAAAGTACTAGTTATCTTGAAAATGCTCTAGACAGGTTTTTAATTGTGAAAATCCAAGTGCTAATGGATTCACACACATCTGTGATCTGAGCCTTCCAGCCTCAACCATCAAGACTGCTCTCATTATGTAGCCAACACTATTTTGTAACCCTCTCATGAGGCGCCTACTTGCAGGGCTAAGAATTGGTCCTTAATCGACTAAATTAATTGCTGGTCAGTACACAGGAGCAATGCCCACAAAGTCAGGGGAGTTGCATATGCTTACACTAGCTGTGAAATTTGACTCAATTTAAAAAGAAAACAATTCCAAGTGACAATGGGAGAATATCAGTTGAATAAAGTACTGGTAGAAAAAGGGTCATTCCTTTAACCGGACATTTAAACAAGATCCATTGTTCTGTGATTCATACTCCACACTCCCAGCATGTTGGAAATATAGAGAGGTAGGAGAAAGTAACCTTTTCTAGGATACACATCCAGATCTACAGATTTCACTTACATTTCAGCTGTTCTCTCTCATACCAAAGGTCATCTGGCTAGCATTGTTCCGGACATCACAACACATAGATGGTCACCTGTTTTTGTAGGCAGGGCTATTTCTCTCTTTGTAGAGCCCAAATCTTACAGGAGGATCAGTGAGCTTGATATTGTGGACACGGTAACTATTCAAGAAGCAAGCTTCTTAAGCCACTTAATTGTTAGTGCTGCAGAAATAAAACTGAAAGGATGTGCTCAGTAGAAAGGAGAGTGCAAAGGGTCTCACCAGGTGTTCCAGGAGGTCCAGGGTTTCCCAGGTCTCCTTTACCTCCTAAAATAAGAACTCAGAATAAAATCCTTGTTTTGCCTAGAGATCACCTACATAATTCAAGATCTCACTACAGCAATCACTTGGGTTTAATTATGTAGGGGGCTAGTTCAAGGCCTATGCACCACCTACACTCTGCACAATCTGTTAAAGTTGGCGTTTTGTGGGACTTAAGTGATGCATTGACAATGTTGCCAACACTCATGATTTTATCATGAGTCTCATGATAACTATTGTTTTCCTTAAAGCCCAAGCTCCTGGGGTCAAATGGATATGACATGATTTCAGCGTTCAGTCTTAAAGAAAAAGTAAGTTTCTACCCCTTGAGGCTTTGGAGAAAGCTTCAAAATGTGACCCAAGTGCACCCTAAAGGTTCAAAAAGCAGAAGGCAATAAAAAGAACACCACATCTATTATTTTTACATAATCTCATGATTCTAAAACCAATATCCTGATTTTTGATGAACCTGACTAAAGATTTTCAGAGATTTGGGGTTGGCAGTACTGTATTTATCTTATCTTGTCTTCTGCATTGGCTGAATTTCACCCTTACGCTATGTCTATACTGCAGTTGGGACCTATTGTCACTGCATAGGACCTTGTGACATATCAGACATTATAATTAGAGCTGGGTGAAATTTTTCCAGTTAATAGTTTATTCACCGAAAAATGCAGTTTCGGCTCTCAAACAGGTAATGAATTTGGGTCACATTTGTTAAATACATTCAGCCAAGTAGAAGATTTTCCCACATACTCCTAAAGTTTTGTTTCAACATTTTTGAAATGTTCAAACACTTCGTTTTGTCATTTGGCTATTAAACAAGAACAAAAAGGGGACACTTCTTGTTCAACCGCAACCAATTTCATTTCATCTTCTGTTTGGCAAGAAGCTGGAAGGAAAAATTGTACAATGAAATGGGGTGGAGGGATTGTAGCTCCCAATTCCTCTATCACCGTGAATAGCACCATAAAGTGCCCTGCTCTGCAGTGAGAAGAATCATCTGAGGTCTCTCACCTTTCAGTCCAGAGGGGCCCCCAGCACCTCTTTGTCCTGATTGAACAAAAAATAAGATAGGAAAGACTGATCAGAGATATCGAGATCTTGACAGTGGATCAGAACTGAAGTTCTGTTGCAATAATAAACCCTTTATTGTCAAATATAGAGTGAAGGGAAGTTATGGTGGTTTTGGAGCCCAGATATTATAGGAATTGGTGTTGTATAACTAGCTCTAATTGATATTTGATTAAAAACAAATTTCCTGTTCTTAGGTCACCTAATAGGAAAACACAGTTCTCTGCCCTTTGTTACTTTACCTTTTCGGCCACTTTTCCCCGCCTTTCCAGGGATCCCCGGAGGTCCCCGTTGTCCTGAAAACACAGAAAACTGACTGTATATTTTTCAAGGTATTGTAAATACTGAGTACATAATCCCCACCCACCACCCCAACCTGGATTTACAATAACCCATCAGTGTCGAAATTCAAATAATGTATCTGCATCTGGTTCCCTGAGTCCCTGATCGCTAAGGTCACACAGCGAGCCAGTGAGAGAGATGGGGAAAACACCAGAGGACTTGGTTGCCAATCTGATACCCCAAAGGGAATGGACCATATTTCAGAGCTTGAAGCTCCAATCCCTCACCACTGGACATAGGGGATTTGCCATCTGAGTTGGGCAGAGTTTCCTCATATCAGAATCGAGGGGAATCTCCAAAGTCTGAGCATATTACAAAAGTAATTCCCATCCATGGCAGATTCTCATTCAGTACCTGTATTTCCTGCAGTTCCTTGGTCTCCTCTGGGCCCTACAGCACCCGGAATTCCAGGGCAGCCTTGGAGAATAATGAGTTTCTCGGTACTGTTGAGACCCACTACCCTCACCACTGGGGAAAGAAATGATCCATAAACAATGATTGTTAGGTTCTCAGGATTGGAAACATTTTGCAGAAATCTGGAGGGATAAACCCAGCAAATGAGAGCCTAGATAGTTCCTGCATTTTCTTTTCTCTATTAGCAATGATATCCAACCTTTTTTTCGGTTTTATGTATTTCATAGACAATGCCCTAATATGAAAAGTTGGGGGTTATTACTATTAGTCTTTGTTTTAAGTTATAGTGAAAACAAAAGTTAAAGAGAAGTGAATTAAATTTTTGTATTTAAAATACATCACTTCAGAGTTCATTTTGATGGACACATCCCTCTGCGGTGTTTGCAACCCGACCATTGCAGCTTGTGTCAGTTCATGAGAATCACTTAACAAAATCAACTACAGAGAAACAAAAGTGACACTGACTAGTCGGTTCTCATTGTGAAATGAAATACAGAGGAAAAACAAACAGCTGCCATTCAGTGAAGAAATTGTCCAAAAGTAAAATAATTTAAAAAACAGTTGCTCTGAGAAGCACTGGTAATACACTTTAAAGAATTAAATATGTTTTTTAACCTAACAGTCCCCTCTCTATATAATACACATTGTGAGATTTAAAATGATTAATAGGAACATCAGTGGAGAAAAATAGGGACACACCTGTCAATTCCATTGAGCTCTATTGATGTGGAAATTTTTGAGGTAAACAAAATGGGGATATGGTTTATATTTCCTGTGATATAGGAACTCTTCCTCCCAATTTGGAACTTTTTGGGTAGAAATTGTACATAGCAAATGATTTTAAAATGATCATGAATGTAAGTAATGGAAATGTGAAAAGAAATACTGCTCTGAAATAATACTAAAATAAACCTTCAAATGCTGCTGGATTCTCAACCCAAAGCGCAGAAATGAATGTGCTGAC